CCCATCAGTAGATCCTATAATTATAGGTCTGTGCAGTGCATACATTATCTTTTTGTTACTGTTGATAAAAACGTATCAATTTAAATTTATGTATTTATGCAGAATAAGACCATGAGTCCACTAAACACAGAGTATGTTAATGTGAGCAATTTGTTCCAAATTAGTATCACTTATCAACTAAAAGGATCGTAAAAAAACTTTTATAATTTGCAAACACGAAACACTCGTCTGATAGAACTTACAGTAAACTTCAGAAGAAGACATGATTTGCCAACGCCAGAATCACCACAAAGCAGAAGCATACGAAGCTAGTTACTACAAAAAAATAAGGAAAAAAAAAACTTAGATCCCTTCCAGTATCATTTGGCAGCAACACACAATCGAAACAATAGCAATCCCATTTCATATACTTTTATCAACACCAATACATTGCTAAAATTTTAGCTAGAAGACAACCCAACAATTCTATAAAAAATTCGAAGGAATAAAACACTCGAGCATTGTAGAAGCAAGGCAATTGTTAAAATTCTCCATGCAAATCATTAGCAATGCAGAAAGGGGCGAAAAGGCTTTTTTCTACACGAAAGGGCCTCTATCATCTCATGAGGTGGGTCGAGAACCCAATGATCTTGTTGCGGAGGCACTTCGAGGGGCTTACGGCAAACTCCTCCAGGATGTTCTTGTTCGCGTAGAAATCAACGATCTTGTTCGAGTAGTAGTGCTTGATGACCTGAAGGGAGGACTTTTTCACGGCCTTCGTGCGGACAACACATTTTCGACGGTTGCAGTAGCCAACAACGACGCTAAGAGGAAAACTTTACTACATTATTTACACCCAGTGAGTTTTATTTTCAATTAAAATATAATGAGCGTATGAAGACTTGTTTGTAGTTATGCATTCCATGAGTTATGATTCACTTTCTTAGGTGTTTTTTTCGTTGTTGCTGTTATTTGGGTTATGCATTTTACAAACGACGGATATTTTCAAGCTCTGGAACGGTATATTAATCATTCGCCTGTGAGTTTGGTTACCTGTTTGCCAGTACAATTTCACTATAAGTGTGTCATATTTTGTCATCCATCTTTATTTTAGTCAAACATACTTGATTTGAGATAAATTATTTGTTACTTGTAACTCATACTTTTTATCGACTGACTTCGAAGACCATAGTTTTTTCAAGGTTGAAGTTAGTTTACTTACTTTACAACTTGCATGTGTTTTTTGGAAGAAAATAAAGCAAGTTGACTTTCTGAATCAAATTCATTATGTGTGTTCAGTAGTAAGATATGCACAATGAATCATCTAAACATTGATGTCCTAAAACCCCCAGCACAACCCCACCCCCAATTTACAAAAAAGAACAGGCATAAGTGATTGCTCCTCCCATCATAAAATTAGATATCAAAAACATCATTGTTAACGGTAGCAGCATGAATGTATACATATAAGGGTTGTAGCAGAAATCTAGCAAATTAACCATCAAATAAAATAAATTAATTCGAAAAATAATACAACATTACCTTTAACACCAGAGCTCTTCGAACCAGAGAAAGTAACGACCTCGCCTTCACCGTTTGAGAAATCCTTGAAATCCTGAAACTCGGCCGAAAAATCATCGTCCAAATTGATGCCCGGCTCAGATCTCCGAGGATTGGAGTTATAGATCCCCGGATTCCTCCCCTTGCTTGAATCGGTATATATTCGACACCAGAGCAGAGAACGCAGAAAACAAAATGAAAACAAAAATCCCAGTAATTTCCAGAGCAATGCAACAGAAAATGATGATATGAACTTGGAGGAGCTTACTCGTAGTCGAGAAAAAAAACCAAATCTAGATTGGAAAGAAAGATCGGGTTCATCGGTCATATTTACCTAAATGTATCGCCGAAGTGGATTTGCTGCTCGTCGGGTCTCCCACTCTCACTATCGCCGGCTCGGCGCCCCGCCGGGTCTCACTCTCTCTATGTCGCCGGCTCGCCGCCCCATCGGGTCTCCCTCTCTCTCTCTCTGACTCTATCTCCGGGTCGCCTCGCAGATCTCACCGTCACAGCTGCTTTTTGCACTCGTCGGCCGACCGTTGTCCGTAACCTTGTCGTCGTCGCGTTCCTTTGCCTTTCAGATTTTTTGTTTGGAGATCTGAGGTAGAGGATAGTGGATTTTTGAGATCTTCATACAGTACTGTAAAGTGTAATGATATGTGAAGTGTGATGGTCAAAGCAGAAAATGTGGAAAGTTGGTGGAAACTTAACCGGGAAGACAAAAGGATATAATTGAGGGGCTAGCAGTAGTAAAACAGAGGGCAAGTCATTTTCGTCCAAACAAAACGCCACGTTTTATTGAATGGCAGTTCAGTAATTTCAAGGCCAAAGCAGTGGCAGCAACCGTAAAAATAGCTGAAATTGGAGGACATTTATGCCTGAACAAACTGGACACGTGTCAAGCCTTAAATCACTCACACTTTTTCTTATATGTAAGAGAGAGATATATATATTGGCCGGAACAATAGGGATTTTATATTAACTCAAGAAAGATGAAGAAATACTATAAGAGTACAACCTTCAATATATTCTTTACTTTTCCAAAAATATATTCATAAATAATATTTTCTATAATTTTATTTAATAAAATAAAATTATTTTTCTGAATTTTTATTATTTAATGTTATCACATACTTAGATTATAATTTAAGTTAAAATTTATTTTCAACTTTTAAAATAAATTTCATTAAGCGTTTGCATAAATATAAATTATAAAATAATTATCTTATTAGGTAATTTTACTAAAGAAAAAAATAATATTTAAAAAAAGAGTATTGTAGTTTACATAATTATGTGAAAATGCAAACTGATTTGGAGTCTTAAATGCAAAGTAGAATGTAAAAGTAAGCCTTATATTGAGAATAACCAAAAATTGAAACCCTCAATTGAAAAAATTAAAAATATAGACCCTATTATGACATAATACTAAAAAATCAAGCTCTCTAATAGAATTTCTCCTTTTATAAAATTAATTTAATATAATAATTACTATTTTTATATTATATAATTAATACAAATTTTAATTGATTAGTATGAGTCATTACACAAATAAATAGGTTTGATTAGACCTCACATTAACTATATATGTACAATGATGGAATAAATTCTACGTATGAATTAAATGTGCATTTTGCCTGAACTAAATGTGCAGTCAAAATCTACAAATAGATGTGCTTTAATTAATTTAAGTTATATTAATTTGTTATATAACTAATGTAAATTTCGATTTATTAATATGAGGCATTGGTCTACACAAATAAATGGCTATGACTAGACCTCATGTTGACTAAATATGCACGATGATGAACTAAATATGCATAATGAATGAAGTAAATATGAATCATATATTACAATAATTATATAATGAAAAATGTTATATCAAATTAATTATACAATAAAAATATATATTGACCGGTTTGAACTAAATTTGTATGCTAAATATGCAGTTGATATGAACTATATGTATGCTAAATATGCATTTTTCATGAACCATATATGAATTTTGTTTGAAGTAAATTTTCACTCAAAATATGTAGTTGAAATGAACTGAATATATGTAATGTTAATGAACTAAATGGGCAACAATATATCAACTAATTATGCATTGTTTGTGAACTATATATGCACTTCGTATGAATTAAATGTGAATTTCTTATGCACTAAATGTGCAGTAAAAAATGCAATTTACAAAAATATTCTGACGCTTGTACTGCCTTTATGTTCTCAATTAAGTATGCATAATTTATAACTAAATTATGCATTGTGTATTATATAAATATGCATAACAAATAAATTAATTGTGCATTAGTTATATAGTAAAAAACCTAAGGGTCATAAGGCAGTTATTCACATTTTAAATAAATTACAGATGGGCCACATGGATCAAATTGCAATAACTCATAATTTATTGAAATTGCAACAAGGTCCCTAAGATTTATCTAACTTTCAAAATGATCCCTCCAAATCCAAAATTTGTTTTGCAGCTGATATCCGACTCTTCCTCTCCGTGAGCCTCCTTGAATCTATAAATCCTCTCCGACGGACTATGACGATCTCGCTGTCGCAGCCTTCTTCTCTATCGGAGTCTCAAAACCACTGGCGGAGAGAAATTGGACAAGTTGAATTAAAACACGTGGGATCCCATGGTTCATGACCCCCCCCCCTCCTACCCGTCGGGAGGTCCTCCTCCAGTCGATGAAGAGGCATTTGACGTCGAGGCAGTGGCGCGCAAAGACGACAATGTCGCCGTGTCGAGACGCTTCTCCTTGAAGAAGCAACTCCAGCCCTTGGTGAACACGTTGATCTGGCCGTTTTATCAATAAGAGTACATGAACCGCAAGAACATGTCGGTCGAGTCCTCAAACCCCAACAACAACTCGTTCTCCCCGGACCCTCCGTCGTCCCCGAGGGGCAAGTTCTTCTCGACATGCTGCTTGGGGGTCACTAGTCGGTTCAGTTTTCATATGTCGATCGACATCAGGGGCTTCTAGAATAGACGCTCCTTCAGGATCTCTTCCACCGGACAGTCGTCGTCACCGTTGTTGTTGAGGTAGAGACAGTGGCCAGCGGCGGCGGAGTAGTAGAGGTGGTTGTGGAGCGAGTGGGGCCACCACTGAGGCTGGGAGAGTTCCATCGAGTAGAGTTTCTCCCTACCAAATTAACGACATTTTCCGACGGCCGGTCAAACTCCATTTATCAATTTATTTATTATATAATTTATTTAAATATATTAATTAATATTATTTATTATTTAATTAATGTAATTACAATTGATTAATACGATCTATTGATACACACAAAATCATTAGCTATGATTGAGTCTCACGCACGTCTGCGCGCTAGGACAAGTCTGCGAGCATCTAGATACTGGCACGAAGCCCCGCGCAGACTGCACGACCTGGTACAGGCCTCGGCGTGACTGAGCGCGGCTGGGTGTGCGGTTGTTTCCACCGTGGTCGCCGGTCTTCCTTCGATGGTCGGGGTTGATCGACAGCGGCTCCTACATAATTTATGGGATTGAATATATATATATATATATACTCTCTCGGTCTACCTCGGATTTCTATTGTATGACCCAAAATCTTCTCCGTTCGTCTTCGTGGTAACGATCTTGAAGGTAACTCTATTAGGATTTTTCTAGAAAATGGCGATTACCTTAGGCGTGTGGTTATACGTGTGTCTCTCATAAATTCCAAGAGATGTGAAGTATTTATAGGCTACAACAGAGACCCTAAAGAGGAATGAAATTGGACTCCCAATATATTGGCCTAACTGTGGGCCAAGCCCAATCCGCTCATATATGAATAATACAGTTATTACACTAAAGTAGTATTATTTAAACTCCTAATTTTATTTCTAAATTACAATTTGAATTCTAATTTTAAATTACATGAATTACCTCCCCATGTTTAAGATATAATGTCCATCTACCAATTCGATTATTGACAATCATATCAATTGATATCTTATGCCGAAGCTAGCACCACTCAATACATTATTATTATGTCGGAATTTAATCCATCTACACGGTTTAACATAATAATCCTTCTAACCTCACTCCAGAGACATCATCAAACCTCAACCTGTTGGGTTCTATTAGGAACGTCGACAATGTGCACATTCAAATCTATTGAATAATAAGTCCTAACGTAGCGGAATCTATAGTTAGTATTAAGACTTACGGTTTAAAATTTTTGCCGACTCTGAGTCGTTTCTGATGTCCGTTGATGGAGATCGTCTGTCTACCACAACCCAATCGGTTGAAGGGTTTGGCCTTTGTCGACTCTAGTCGAGTGTTGAATAACAAACGGATCACCAAATCAAGTTGGTCAGGTTCGGATTGCGGCGATTCGGGTTACGGATAGATGCGCGTGCGTGTCAACTTTCCTATGCCTGGAAAGACTAGGTGTGCGGCGTCTGGGCTCACACGAGTACGTGCTCGGGACGTCTTCTATATGCGCGAGGAGTCCTGATCAGGCGAGGAATAGCGGGTGCATGCGGGTCGCATGCTGCGGCTTTCCTATGCCTGTGAGGACTAGGCGAGCAGGGTCTGTGTCATGCCGATCGTATGCGGCACGTTTCCTAGGGCGCAAGGAGTCCTGGTCGATCGAGGAGTCCTAGTCGAGCGAGGAGTCCTGGTTAAGCGAGGTATGTTGGTGGCGAGTAGTGGTTTTCCAGCGGTGGTCGATGGCGGTAGTCGGCTGAGGAAGGTGACCGGAAAATATGAAGGTTTGAGGTTTCATATAATCTCACCTTAAAATCTTCTAATGGATTACCTAAACACCTAGTTCAATTAATCTTGGTGGAGCGATTATATGAATCTCCTTAACTCTCAAATATATGAAGAATACGATTTTGCTCTTCCTTATAGGAACCTTAAAATCGTGCCTCACAAGTACATCTCAAGAGATGGGACACGGTGTATTTATAGGCTCCATTAGGGACCTTAAGGAGGTGCCAAATATGGGCTTATCCCATTAGGCCAAGGAATTCTAGTTCTACTCCACTTATTAATCCCAACTAGGTCATTATTCCTTTCTCCTAACATCAGCTTCTAGAAGACTCTCAAGTCTCCTAGGTAATATTCTAGAAGGAATATTCCTTATCTCATAGAATGTTAAATAAGGAATAAAATTAATTCTTAAAATCCTAATAAAATGAAATAATAATATATCCCACTAGAATATTATTATTGCTCTCCCCATTTGTCTCCAATTTAATCAATTAAATCAAACCTCCACTTGATTAATATTTGTTAATCTTATTAATCGATTTATCTTCCTATGTTTAAGATATAACGTCCGTTGATTAATTAAATCACTGACAAAATAATTAATCAACTTCTTATTCATTTACGAAACTAATACCACTCAGATCTTTAATCATTATGTCGGATACACATCCGCCTGCAGGGCTTGACATAATATTCCTTCCTGAGCTCATCTCGGGGACGTCATCAATCCAGCGCACTGGAACATAGTGACCGTAAATAATTTATAATAGCGCGTCATATAAACATCCTCATTTACCAAAGTACCGAGTACGTCATCCTAACGGAATAGTAATCACCCTTGGTAAATCAAATAAAAAAGTAATGAATATACACGCCTTTTTTATATTATCTTACAACTTTAGAGAACGCATCAATAACTGAAGGTCGAGATTACAACAACGATCAGTGAGTCTCATAATCTTAGCCTTCCACGGTCCTGTTCAATTCTTA